GACTTAAATTTTTTAAACAGTTTCTGTAATCCAGCCATTGATAATTTTGCTGTGTGGGGGCTAGATTCCTTAATATTAAAACTAACTCAACCATGGATAGAGAAATATTTTGAACTTCCTTCTTCTAAATCATAATGTGTTCATCATTTCTTTCAAAGTTTTAGTCATTTAAAAAGCTGTCTAAACAATGAATTAGTGGGTTATTTTTATATGAAGAATTTTTAATCTTACTGTTTTTAAGGACTTTCTTTGTATATTCAGGAATCAATCAAGTCTTTAAGGAAAAAAAAAACAAACCTAAATTTCAGAAATATTCTCCTTCCTATTTTGCTACCTTATAGTTTATTGGGTTTGCCAAAAAGTTTGTTTGGATTTTTCCATAACATCCTACAGAAAAACCCAAACTAACGTTTTGACCAACCCAAGAGAATTACTGACCTTAGATTTAGCCTATTTTTAGGAGGCAAAATACCACACGATAATAGAGCTTGCATTAAATAGTGGCTTTGAATGAATTTTCCTTTTTTTTCTGTTTTCTAAAGCTTCAGTAATACATTCATTTACTTTTTTAAAATTAATTTATTTATTTTACTTTACAACATTGTATTGGTTTTGCCATACATCGACTTGAATCCACCATGGGTATACATGTGTTCCCCATCCTGAACCCCCCTCCCTCTTCCCTCCCTATCCCATCCCTCTGGGTCATCACATTGTACCAGTCCCGAGCACCCTGTATCACGCATCAAACCTGGACTGGTGATTCGTTTCACATATGATATTTCACATGTTTCAATGCCATTCTCCCATATCATCCCGCCCTCACCCTCTCCCACAGAGTCCAAAAGACTGTGTCTCTTTTGCTGTCTCGCATACAGGGTTATTGTTACCATCTTTCTAAATTCCATATATATGTGTTAGTATACTGTATTGGTGTTTTTCTTTCTGGCTTACTTCACTGTGTATAATAGGCTCCAGTTTCACCCACCTCATTAGAACTGATTCAAATGTATTCTTTTTAATGGCTGAGTAATATTCCATGGTGTATATGTACCACAGCTTTCTTATCCATTCATCTGCTGATGGGCATCTAGGTTGCTTCCATGTCCTGGAAGTAACAGTGCCACGATGAACATTGGGGTACACGTGTCTCTTTCAATTCTGGTTTCCTCAGTGTGTATGCCCAGCAGCAGGATTGCTGGGTCATATGGCAGTTCTATTTACAGTTTTTTAAGTTATCTCCACACTGTTCTCCATAGTGGCTGTACTAGTTTGCATTCCCACCAACAGTGTAAGAGGGTTCCCTTTTCTCCACACCCTCTCCAGCATTTATTGCTTGTAGACTTTTGGATAGCAGCCATTCTGACTGGCGTGAAATGGTATACTTTTATTACTTATAAAATTATTTATTATCCCCCTAGTTATCCTTATAAAGAACTGGGCATTAAAAAGGTTAAAATTATTAAAGAATTTTCACATTGTAGGTAATATGGAGGTTTACTTTTATTTTGAAGTGATGCATTAAGTATAATAGGCCAGATTCTTACTATGGACATTTTTTAAAATGTATTTATTTTTATTTTTTTAATGTAAAAATTACTTTTTATTACTTGAGACGATGTCATGAAAAGTTTTATTTTTTTAAAAATGAGTCTCTTGATTTAGGCCTCAGAAGCATAAGGGACTAACCACCACCGGCTGTCCCCACGGCTGCAAAGAGAGCTGAGGGGATGACTAAGCTGAGGTCTGCATCCTCAAAAGCTATAATGGCATTGTTTCCTACAAGTTCTAATAAACTTCTCCCAAACCACCACTGTCATATTCAAAATGATGCATTTATTCAAGGCAAACACTCATTTTCTTTGTCTTCTTCAGAAGAAAGAGTTACAACAATGCGTAAAAAGCTTGAAATGTCAATTTAAAGCACTTTTTTACTGAAACTTGATTCCTTGGGCCAGAGGAAGGTCCTTACTGTAGTTGATGGTACAAGTAGATCTTCTTATGTATTGCTTCCAGGCGTAACTGCCCAACTCCCTGCCCCCGCCAGTGTGTTTCTCCCCTCCACATGCACCTCCAATCTCAGCCCCACTTGTTGGAATGTTGACGTTTACGATGCCACAATCTGATCCTTTTGGTCCAAGCCAGCAAAAGATTCTGCCCATATCCTTGGTAAAGATGCTACTTGAAAGTCCCTGTTTGACTTCATTATTCCATGCAAAGACCTCATCTTCATTCTTGAATTTAAAGACATAAAGAATCGGGGCAAAAGTCTCTGTGTGTACGATGGATGCGTCATGGTCAAGACCTGTCACAATTGTTGGTTCTATGTAATTTCCAGGGCGATCCATAACCTTGCCACCATAGACAATGGTGCCACCTTCTTTCTTTGCTTCTTCCACTGCTCCAAGAAACTTGCTTACTGCCTGTTTGGTGTGGAGTGGCCCATAGAGAACGTTAGAGTCCCAAGGGTTCCCAACACAGATCTGTGCATAGGCCTTTTTAAGTCTATTGACAACTTCATCATGGATGCTTTCATGTAAGAACAGGTGCCTGGCGGTGGTACACCTCTGGCCGGCTGTCCCCACAGCTGCAAAGAGAGCTGAGGGGACGACTAAGCTGAGGTCCGCATCCTCAAAAGCTATAATGGCGTTGTTTCCTACAAGTTCTAATAAACTTCTCCCAAACCGCTCCTGTACCATAAGGGCCACCTGTTTTCCCACCTGCGTGCTCCCGGTGAAGGGCAACAGGTCCACTCGCTCATCCTTGGCCATTGCTGTGCCGATATCTGCTCCACCGCAAGTCAAGGAACAAATTGCACCAGGAAGCTTGTTGTCCTCCAGAACTTTGGCTATTCTTTGTAACAGCTACACTAATGAAGAGAAGTTGTAGGAGCTCCTTTCCAAAGGCAGGCGTTCCCACAGATCATGGCAATGGCGTTGTTCTGGCCGTACACGGCCACAGGGAAGTTGAATGCAGTGCTGATTCCACCCAGGCCTACAGGATTCCACTGTTCAATGAGAGCATGGCCAGGTCTTTCAGAAGGCAAGATGGGTCCCCCAATCATCCCAGATAAGCCAACAACATAATCACAAACATCCATGTATTCCTGAACTTCTCCCACACCTTCCACCAAGATCTTCCCCATCTCCAAAGACACCAAGCTTCCTAGTACTTGGATCTTCTCCCACAAGGCATCACCAATCTGTCTCACTACATCTCCTCGCTTTGGAGCAGGAATATCTGCCCAGATGCTCCATGCTTCTCTTGCTTTCTTTACAGTTTCTTCATAGTCAGCCATGCTGGCCTGTCTGACTCTTGCAATGGGCTCATTGTTAGCAGGACAATAGGTGGTGATAACCTCTCCCCGGCCTCCCCAGCTTCCATTATACACGCCGTCGTTTTCCTCGCGGAGCCCCAGCTCCTTCAGCCAAGCATATTGGGGCTGATCGATGAGCAGAGTGGACATGAAGGCGGCAGGCCTGTTCCAAGGCCCGGAGAACTTGCTCTTCCTTGCAACGGGCACGCAGAGCAGACCGGGAACGCGCCACATACTGAGTCAGGGATGCGAAGGGCGCCTGCGGCCGAGGAACAGCTGAAGTGGGGCCCCGCCCCCGCCCCCGGCCCGGAGGAGCCCATTGGGTGGGCCCGGCCCCGCCCTCGAGCCCGCCCCCCGCCGTCGCCCTGCCTAGCCGGGAGCTGTGGCCTGGAAGTTAACCAGAACCTGGAAAACAGTGAGGGCCTGGACGTTTTTAAAAGAACGTACTTAAAAGGTTGGAGCAGAAAAATTATTTTATGTAGTAAAAAAAAAATCTGAAAATTCTTAGTACTAATGGTGCATAAGAGAAGGTGATTTTTTAAAATATTCTGTTCTGTTTTAGAAATACCAGAAAATTTTCACATTTGTCTCTTATATTGAACAATACTTTTAATGAGCCAGTGCCTCAGGACCTTTACACCTGCTGTTTCTACTACTTGGAATGAACTTTCCTGCTTCTTTCTCCTTCCTCTAACAAACTCCTGCTACTTCAGTCTTGCTTAAATTATTCTTGAGAAATTTGTCATAACTCACCTCTCTAAAATTCCAAACCCCCCCCTACCTTTTTCTACCTTGGTCCCAACCCAGGTTAAATTCCTGTTATTTATTTTCAGGGCCCCTTCACTGCTTCATAATGTTCATTGTGGTTGTGAACATCAGTTCAGTGTTTATTTTCTTCACTGTTTCTTAATAGTGTTTATTTTGTTAAGGGCAGGATGCGTATCTTGTTTAGAGTTGTAATCTCAGTGTCTGCCCAGTGCCTATGTAATAGTTAATTAATAGTACTTGATAAATAAATTCCTTTAAATATTCATTTCACATGCTTTTCCAAACTCTAGTTGGTATTGTTTAATAATGGGATCTTTCCATTAGAGTAGTTACTAGTAGGTCAGTAGCTGAATTAAGCAACTATGAGTTCCCACTAATTTGGAGTATTTTTAGCTTTTGAACATTTGGGATGAGTTTCAGATGCTTCTTAGGGTATATGGTCACAGTACCTTTCTTAAACAATAAATAGTAACTGCAAATATTGACTGTTCTGCTTGGTTATATTAATCCCAGTAGATCCAGGATCACCAAAATAGTACAGTACATAAAAGATAAAATGATAAGACCATAGCCAGAATTGGTCTTCCGCTTTCTTCTTCTTTTTCTTTTTAACCTTTTTAACTTTTATAGGATTGAAGTTTCTGTTTTCCAAATCCTTATTGTAAAGCTCACAATGAATAGCTTTTATATAAGGATTTACAGTATTTAATGGGTCCAAAAAATCAAAATGTACACAAAGTATTTTAATTGAGCAGTTAGTCTCTCCAACTTTTTAATAAAACTAAGTTATTGTTCTGTATTTGTGACACGCATGTTGCACAGTAGAAAAGAAAATGTTTGTAATACATTGAGGTTATATATAATATTTAGCAACTACTCTTCTACTTATTAAACTACACATTGTGTTCTTTTGCAGTTCAAGCGATATGTCAGTAAACTTCGAAGCAAAAGTACAGTTTTCAAAAAGAAGCATCAGATAATAGCTGAATTTCAAGCTGAATTTGGTCTCTTGCAGAGGACAGAAGAACTTCTTAAGCAACGTCATGAAAATATTCAACATCAACTGGTAATACAGAATTATATTGAGGTTCTAGAAGTACAAATGCCTAGAGGTTTATAAGTTGTAGCTTCATACTGAAGTCATTGTTTTTATTAGAAAAACCATAAAATTATTCATTTTTTCTCATTAATTATAGAGGTGACCTGTAAGCTGATTCATATACTTTACTGTAGCAATGAGTGCTTTTTTATGTGTGCTGGGCTTTGGGATAATTAATAGAAGTTGAATTCCAAGTAGCTTTTTCTTTTGGTTAGCTAGCTAATACAACAAAAATGATCATATCAGGAAATTGGCTGTAATTTATTTATTTATCATGGCCTACTAGGCAGAAATCTAAGCAGCCACTTCCATGAAGCTATGGAAAGATATTTTCAGAGAAGATTCTATATGGAAGTTTGCCTGCAGGCTTGGTTCCCTATATATTTGTGCCTTGGTTGTCAAAAAAAGTTCAACCCAGAGAAATCCCTCTAGCAACAAAGCTGTTCTTTTGTGGGTGCCAGTTTCTCTGAGTTTTCTTGATTTGGCTTTTTTTTCCTTTCACCCATGTGGAAATTATGTCATCATGTGATGTTGGCTTGCACGCATGCATGCTGAGTTGCTTTAGTCATATCTGACTCTTTGTGACCCCATGGACTGTAGCCCACCAGCCTTGCTGTCCATGGGATTCTCCAGGCAAGAATACTGAAGTGGGTTGGATGTTGGCTTACCAGCTAGCAATAATCTGTTAGAGGTTAATGAAATTTCAACTAGTTGTGGTTAGCTGGCAACATGAACTTTTCTGTCTCATGCTGTTGAATATTGTTTGCTTCTAGAGAACTGAAGATTGAACACTTATAGTACATCAAACTTAGGTTACAGCAGTAACTTTTAAAATTGATACATAGCAACTGCATTATTGCTCACTTCAAAATATTTTCTAATTTTCATTGTGATTTCTTTTACCTATGGTCACTGCTGAAAACCAAACATTTGGGAATTTTCTAGTTACCTTTCTGTTATTGATTTCTAGTTTATTTCTGCTATGACCAAAGAACATACTCTGTGATTTCAGTTCTTTGAAAATTCTGAATGTTGCATTATGGCTTAGCATGTGATCTGTCTTGATCATTGTTCCATGCACAGTTGAGAAGAATGTATATTATGTTGAGGATGGTGTTCCATATATGTCAATTCAGTCTAGTATGTTAACCATGATACTCAGATCTTCTGTGTTTATTGACATTTTCATCTGCTTGTCCTATCAATTATTGAGAAAGATGTTTTACAGTATCAATGATATTTCTTTTTTTAGTTCCATCAGTTTTTGCTGTACATCTTTCCTTAAGCTTCTTAGAATCAGAGCCTGAGAAGGGTATACTTAGTACAAGTGACTTTCTGAGGGAGGGAGTACCTTCAGAAGAAAGGGAATGAGGGAAACAAGTGGAGCAGTAGAAAAAAGCCAAACAAGTGTGTATTTTTTAAGTTTATTTTTAATTAGAGGATAATTGTTTTACAATACTGTGTTGGTTTCTGCCATACATCAATATGAATCAGTCATAGGTATACATATGAAGGGTGTATTCTTGACTGAAAGCAGCTTCATCTTGATCCTGTGAGGAACATTTGGGTACAGATTGTACCATGGAGTTGATTCCACCTTGAGGCAAGGGGTCTGGCCTTTTATACTCCCGTGTCAGCCAGTCATCAGCCGTGGTAGGGTGATGAGGCCTAGATGAGGCAGCTCCCATTGGGCCAAGGGCATGTTTTGGAGAAGGGGCAACCGTGAGGCATTAGCAGTCAGCACTCATAGCAGCTTGCAGATGAGGTCTGAGTGGGGCACCAACAACATCCTCTATAACCCATCCCTTGCATTGAGATCTGCTTGTTTCTCATGTAAAAGTCACTCCATCCTGGTATTTCTTCTATAGGATTACAGTTGGTCAAAATTTCTAGGAATATTTAGGAGAGTTAGTGGGACAAATTAAAACTCTCTTTGCTGCATTTGGTCCCAAAGACATAACTAATACTCAATATCTCCTTCCTCTACCATCCATCCCAGATTCCCCACACCTTTAGCTAGCACCTCCAGTGGTCTAGATGACTTACTTGGTTGGATTACTTAGTCCCTCATTCCTCAGAGCTATGAGATTCTAGTAACAATGCCCTCAGGCTGTGGTTGCTAAACCTCATTTACTGGCAAAACAGGGCAGGAGAGTACAAACATATGCCATAATGGATCACATGAATGCCAAACATATTCCTATCTGTCCCCCATTATATAGCAACATCAGTATAGCCTTAAGGTATCCTGCCAATAAATCACTCCCTTTTTTGCCTGCTGGTCTTTGGGCGTGAGGAGCCCATGAAACAAAATAGTGGCCAGAGGATTAAGTTTAGAGGGCCTGTCAGTGTGCCTTCCGGTAAAAGCATGCCCATTCTGGAAATTAGAACATTTATACTCACAGAGCCTAAAGTTGTGCCTCTTCTGTTGTGGGCATTCTCCAGTGGCTGTATACATGTGATGACGAGATCCTCACTTAGTGTTAATTCTTATAGCTTGGTCCACATGCCTCCTCCCCAGACCTCCTTGTCCCTAGTCATTCAGTCTTGCTCTCTTGCTTCCTCCAGTCCCCTGACCAACAAGCTAAGCCATTTGTCACTGCCTAGAGGATACAAGATAATCTGGGGTTTTAAGATTCTCAAGTGAATCTATCCAGTTATCCCCCTTTCAGACTTAGCACACATTCTCTTCCCTATCAGAGCCCTGACTTTGACATGGGACATATTCAGCCTTCTATGAAGTTTTGCCAGGATTAAGTCCTGTCCCTTGTTTTCAGCTTTCTCTGCTCTGTAGCCATAGGAAATGACGGTTTCTTTAAACCTTCTAAGGAAGTTCTCTGACGTTATTGCTTTGCATTAAATCACTGATTAATGGATTGGAGCCTGTCATTTGAGCTTAGCAACAGCCACCCTGATTTCATAGTCTTACAGTTACTATTTATTTATGCTTCTCAAATACCAGCAACATTGCACCAGCTAGTACCTTCCTGTGAAAGTTCAGGTCCTCCAAGAAGCATCATCCAGACTTGTTTAAATGTACAAGAGATTTATGAAGGAAGTATTTGTGAAGGGTAGAGGGAATCTGGCAGGAGGAGGCAGGGAAAGATGTCAGCTCCAACACAAGTCTGATATCTCTGCGCGAGGAAGGAGGACTGGGGAGGAAGAACCTCAGGCTGTAGGATATTTTAAGGACGTTTTGGTTAGGAAGATGGGGAGTTCCTGAGCCAGTCACCAATAAGAGGAGTCCCCTGTCAGGAGGGAATGGGTTAGCCGCTGGTAACAGCCTGGAGGAAGCATGGCCTTGGCATGAACACGATGGTGGAGACAGAGGGGCAGCAGTAATGGCTGTCATTCAGCTTTGTTCCTCTCAGCAAACTCTCTTGAAGGAGATTCAGGCAATCCATTGTCATGACCAGCATAATCCCTTCCACCTATTTTCTGCCCTAGTTGACAAGTCTTAACAATTGTACTGCTATAACATGCCCAAGACTGATATTACTCTACTTGCCCTCAGTCAGAGGGCCCTCTGCCTCGTTCATCCAGTGAGTGATCCGACCCTAGAAGCCAGGTTTGATCAGATTCTCTAGAAGCAGAACCTGAAACAAGAATTCCTGTTCCTCCTCACATGATTAATTTAGTGAGTGCTCTTAGGAGAAAGGAAATAAAGGAAACGGGATGAAGCAAAGAGGAAAAAGTGGATTCATTTGGAGTCCAGTTTCATTCTGATTGCATAAAGAGCTCTGGAGCATAAATTGCATCACAAAGTTGGTCTCATCTTTAGGCAAGAGGGCTGCCCCCTTTGGGCCCCTGTCTTAGTCAGTCATTTGCTATGGATCCCCTTACCACTCAAGAGGTGGTGTGACACAGTTCCTGTTCAGCCAAGGGTACACTTTGAGGAAGGGACAACTGTAAACCTTCAAAATACCAGTTCTCACAAGATCCAGGGGCTGGGTACACTGACACAGTAAGCAGATCATGGCACAGCACCCAGAGTATCCACTGCAGGTATCCTGAGATTAGTCCATATGAATTTATTATAGTTATCTTCCAATTGGCAGTGTTTGACATGATAGATAACTCCCTCTTCCTGTAAAATTGTTCTTTACTTGTCTTCTAGCACACTACACACTGCTTGTTTTTCTTTACTAACACTACTGTTCCTACTTCATGGCTGATTTCTTCCCACTTCTTCAAAGCCTAGATGTCGGAGTCCCCCAGGTTTAGGCTTTGGATCTCTTCTCTGCCCTCAGTCCCTTGGTGATCTTATTCTCTTATGGCTTTAAAGACATTGTCTGTGCAGACAACTCACAAATTTGTATATCCAGCCTAAATTGCTTCTCAAATTCCAATCTTGTGCATGTAACATCTTGAACTGTCTGTTGGATTTCTACTAGAGAGTATAGATTTTTTTAAACACATCCAAACTTAAACTTCTGATCTTCACTGCTGCCTCACCTGTCCTCCTGAGTCTTCCTCATCACAACAAATAGCAACTCCATTCTCTCAGTTTTTCAGGCCAAAACCGCCTGGAGTCATCTTTACCCCTCACTTTCCTTCACATCCTAACCTGTCATAATATCTTCTTGGAGGAACTTCCCCGGCAGTCCAGTGGTTGAGAGTTCGCCTGCCAATGCAGGGAACTTGGATTCGATTCCTGGTCCAGGAACTAAGATCCCACATGCCACAGTGCAGCTAAGCCCATGCACCACAACTACTGAATTTGAGCTCTAGAGCCTGTGAGCTGCAACTACTGAGCCTTTGTGCTGCAGCTACTGAAGCCCACATGCCCTAGAGCCTGTGCTTCACAATAAGAGAAACGCACATACCACAACTAGAGAGTAGCCCCAGCTTGTCGCAACTTATAGAAAGCCCAAGTGCAGCAACGAAGACCCAGTGCAGCCAGAAATAATATATATACACACATATCTTGTTGGATCTATCTTTAAAATATATACAGAACCACTTCTCATCACCTCTGTTGCCCCCATCTGCTTCATACTACCATCATCTCTAACTTGAATTATTGGAATTGTCTTCTGATTTCTCTGCCCCTTGTCCCTCTATAGTTTGATCTCAGTCAGCATAGATGTTAAAGTTTTCACTTAAAAACCCCTCTATTCTGAACCTTTCAACAAGTCTCCCATTCCATTTAAAGTAAGTCCAAGCTCTTTCACTGGCCTAAAACACAATATAATTTATCATGAAAACTAGGACACTTTTTAGAATGCAAAGGACAATAGATGTAAACTGATACTGTCTCAGCTAACCAGCTAAGTCCTATATGATCCCTCCCCTATCTCCACCTCTGTTTTAAGCTCCCCCCATCTAGTTGTTTATTGAGAGGGCCAAGCATGCTCCTGTGCTGGGCTGTTCTCAGTCGTGTCCAAGGATTGTAGTCCCCCAGTCCCCAGGACTGTAACCCCAAGGCCTGTAATTTGCTAGGTTTCTCTGTTCATGGGATTTCCCAGGCAAGGATACTGGAGTAGATTGCCATTTCCGACTCCAGGGGATCTTCCCAACCCAGGGATTGAACCTATGTCTCCTGCATTGGCAGGCGGATTCTTTACCTCTATGCCACCTGGGAAGTCCCCAAGTATGTACCTACCTCATGTCTTTTGCACTTGTTGATCCCCTGGATATCTCTATGACTTGCTCCCTCACTTCAGAACTTCACTTAGGTGTCATCTTCTCAGGGAGATCTTATCTAACTACCTTGGTACTTAAGATTCCAACCCTACTCTTCCCTCACACTGTATGTATTTTATTTTATTTTTCATTTATTTTTATTAGTTGGAGGCTAATTACTTTACAATATTGTAGTGGTTTTTGTCATACATTGACATGAATCAACCATGGAGTTACATGTGTTCCCCATCCCAATCCCCCATCCCCATCCCCCCTCCCACCTCCCTCTCCACCCGATCCCTCTGGGTCTTCCCAGTGCACCAGGTCCGAGCACTTGTCTCATGCATCCAACCTGGGCTGGTGATCTGTTTCACCCTAAATAATATACATGTTTCGATGCTGTTCTCTTGAAACATCCCACCCTCGCCTTCTCCCACAGAGTCCAAAAGTCTGTTCTATACATCTGTGTCTCTTTTTCTGTTTTGCATATAGGGTTACCGTTACCATCTTTCTAAATTTCATATATATGTGTTAGTATACTGTAATGGTCTTTATCTTTCTGGCTTACTTCGCTCTGTATAATGGGCTCCAGTTTCATCCATCTCATTAGAACTGATTCAAATGAATTCTTTTTAATGGCTGAGTAATATTCCATTGTGAATATGATATGTACCACAGCTTCCTCATCCATTCGTCTGCTGATGGGCATCTAGGTTGCTTCCATGTCCTGACTATTATAAACAGTGCTGCGATGAACATTGGGGTGCACGTGTCTCTTTCAGATCTGGTTTCCTCGGTGTGTATGCCCAGAAGTGGGATTGCTGGGTCATATAGCAGTTCTATTTCCAGTTTTTTAAGAAATCTCCACACTGTTCTCCATAGCGGCTGTACTAGTTTGCATTCCCACCAACAGTGTAAGAGGGTTCCCTTTTCTCCACACCCTCCCCAGCATTTATTGCTTGTAGACTTTTGGATAGCAGCCATCCTGACTGGTGTGTAATGGTACCTCATTGTGGTTTTGATTTGCATTTCTCTGATAATGAGTGATGTTGAGCATCTTTTCATGTGTTTTTTTAGCCATCTGTATGTCTTCCTTGGAGAAATGTATGTATTTTAGTTGTTTACCTATTGCCCATTTGCTCTCACTAGAAGTTAGCTCTGTGAGGGAAGGGATTTTTTTCCCCTGGTTTTTTCTTTTTTTCACTGCAGTATATTTGGTGCCTAGAATTGTGTTCTTGTTCAGTTTGTAAGTTGTGTCTTACTCATTGACTGCAGAACACCAGGCTTCCCTGTCCTTCACTTTCTCCCAAAGCTTCCTCCGATTCATCTCCATTGAGTCAGTGATGCTCTGTCTAACCATCCATTCTCTGCCATCCCCGTCTCCTTTTGTCTTCAGTCTTTCCCAGCACCAGGGTCTTTTCCAATGAGTCAGCTCTTTGCATCAGGTGGCTAAAGTATTAAAGCTTCAGCTTCAGCATCAGTCCTTCCAGTGACTATTCTGGAAGGTTTGATCTCCTTGCAGGCCAAGGGACTCTCAGGAGTCTTCTCCAGCACCACAATTCGAAAGCATCAATTCTTTGGCACTCAGCCTTCTTTACGGTCCAATTCTCACATTCATACATGACTGCTGGAAAAACCAAAGCTTTGACTCTATGGACCTTTGTTGGCAAAGTGATGTCTCTGCTTTTTCATTCGTTGCCTAGGTCTGTCATAGGTTTCCTTCCAAGGAGCAAGCGCCTTTTAATTTTACGGCTGCAGTCGCCATCCACAGTGATTCAAGAGTGTAAGAAAATAAAATCTGTCATTGCTTCCACTTTTTCACCTTCTATTTGCTGTGAAGTGATGGGACCAGATGCCATGATCTGTGTTTTTTGAATGTTGAGTTTTGAGCCAGCTTTTTCCACTCTCCTTTTTTGCCCTCATCAAAAGACTGTTTAGTTCTTCTAAAGAGCCTAGAACTGTACTTGGCACATTAATAAATACTAGATAAGTGAGAAAATATGTACAGTTTTTCACTTGAGATCATTCATTCACCAAATATTTAATGAGTGCATCCTATGTTTTAGTTTCTATGCCAAGTACATAGCATTATGCTCGTCTAAAATTATAATTACTTCCTATGCCCCTGAAGATGCTGTAGTAAAATTTAGTATAAATTTATAAAATATAAAGGAATATAATTATTGTTGAAGTCAATAAAGATTGTTGACTAAATTCCTTTATTTTACTTACAACTTTATTGTTGTGTATTAAATCTATATACTTCTTATGGAATCATCAAGGTTTGACATCAATTTTGTGGACTCTTGTTCTTTACACCTATTTTTGTTTTTTACTTTCAGCAAACTATTGAGGAGAAGAGGGGTATATCTGGATATAGTTACACCCAAGAAGAACTAGAACGAGTATCTGCTCTGAAGAGTGAAGTTGATGAAATGAAAGGACGAACACTGGATGACATGTCTGAAATGGTGATTACACAGGCTTTGTTTTATACACAGGCTCTAAGGCAGATATTTTTGTGTTTATTCTGTTTTCAGTGCAACATTCAGATTTTCATTTCTCTGTATTGTTTTCATTATATTCTTTCATCTGTCTTTATCACTCTCTTTAAAATTTTTCCATTCTTATGAGGTTGTTCGATTTGTAATACTTTACATGTTTTGTGGTTTTTGAAGTGTGTAAAAGTTACATAGCATTAAAGAAATATTTAAGATAAAAAATAAGTTTCCCCAAATTATACTGCTTAATTTAGTACAGTTATTTCATTTGTGTGTGTGCCCTTAGTTTCTTCCCATGTTTAGGACTGCCATTCAGCCAGAATGCACAGATAGAGCTTCATCAGACTTTAAAATGTTGAAATCTTTCATTATTTATTGGTAAATAGCTGCTGCCCCAAACTCTCAGAGTACCCACCTCCACCTGCCTTGCCCACCTCGTTCCCAGATCCCTCTGGATTTCACAACATTCTAACTCCTAAAAAGATTAACATTTTGCACAGCAGACGCCTCCAAGATCTGATTCATCTCTATGGCTGGTGTCTGTTGTGATTGGTCATTGCTATACCTTTTGGGTTATTAAGTAGTTTGACTGTCACTTCATCCATGTTTATATGCATTTTATATAACCTACATAATTTATATACTTTTTAAACTTAATATGGAGTTGTATATCAGCAACTTTGTAATTTGTTTTAGTCCTTCAGCTAGATTATAAATATTTTCCCATAATGGTTTGCAGTCTTAATAATTGACAATTTGAATAGTCAAATGATATTCTGTCTTACTGAGAAGTCAATACTTATTAAATGACTTCATTTTAGTTGGCATTGAAATAATTTATAGTTTTATTCACTTATATAAATACTTCAGTAAATATCTTTATATATATAGTATTTTTGTTCTTTTGAATTATTTTCTTAGATGTCATATATTTTGTTTAAATGGCAGGTAAAAAAACTAAATTCCCTGGTATCTGAAAAGAAGTCAGCTCTAGCTCCAATTATAAAAGAACTACGACAATTGCGTCAGAAATGCCAAGTAAGATGATTTAGTTTTGTGATTGATACTTTTAATACTCTCTCCTGTTCAAATGTATTAGTTAAAATCCTAGATATTTTACTTGGATAATTCCTGGCAAACAAATCATTATTTTTATATGATTCTGTGAAAGAGAATAATATTGTGACCATCAGTGGTTTTTGTTTAATTTATGTTGTTTGTTTTGTCGTAAATTTTTGCGCTGGGGAGAGAAGGAGAAGTTTAAGCTAAAGTCAAAAGTGCAGCCAAATGAGATTTGTGCTTTAAATAATGTTCATGTCAAAGCTATAAATATGAAGTCACATTCTTCAGTGGCCAGGTGAAAGTTCAGAGTGTGCCAACAAGTGGTGACAAGTTAATGTTAGATTAATGAACTTGCTTTGCTGGGGAGCAGGATGAGGGGCAAATCAAGATAACTTATGCTTAAGTGATGAAATACAGTTACTTGGAAGCTAATTCTAGACACTGCTTTAAAGATAAGCTGTAAGAAGGTAAATGCCCAGACCAGGTGCCCTTCACCATTTGACATTAACAATTGTTATTTTATCATTCTCCATGTAGTAATTTTAGGTTTGAATGTGAGCTGTACTGCATGTGCCTAAGGATGAACTATAAAACTCTTCATAAATGCCATCCATCAGAGTCAAGAGAAGCAGAGTGAGAGATCACATGGACCTTGAAATCAGATAGACATTGTTTCCTTTTTTATAGACAATGCCATGGAGTCTGAGACAGGTTTCAGTTCAGTTCAGTCACTCAGTTGTATCCAGCTTCTTGCAACCCCATGGACTGCAGCATGCCAGGCCTCCCTGTCCATCACCATCTCCTGGAGTTTACTTAAACTCATGTCCATTGAGTCGGTGATGCCATCCAACCATCTCATCCTCTGTTGTCCCCTTCTCCTCCAGCTTTCAATCTTTCCTAGCATCAGGGTCTTTTCCAATGAGTCAGTTCTTCATATCAGGTGGCCCAAGTATTGGAGTTTCAGCTCCAGCATCAGTCCTTCCAATGAATATTCCAGACTGATTTCCTTTAGGATGGACTGGTTGGATCTTCTTACTGTCCAAGGGGCTCTCAAGAGCCTTCTCCAACACCACAGTTCAAAAGCATTAATTCTTCGGCACTCAGCTTTCTTTATAGTCCAACTCTCAGATTGGTGATAGGTTTAGTGACTTATCCAAATAGAGAAGAAGGAAATGAGAGACTTGGAGCTTCACACTAGCATCTCTAGCATGTTTTACATCTTCTGCTTATTTCATTGTACACTCCTGCCGTCACAAGAGAAATGGAAGAGAAAAGTCCCAGTTCTCAGGGCTTCATACTGTAATAGGAGAGGTGGAACAAACACAAAAGAAATTAGGAAAAACAAAAGATTACCCAACTTAAGAACAGTATAGAACAAATATAATCAGAATCATATTCCTAACTGATGAGGAAATGGGAAGGAAATTAGGAAATGAAATGATTGTCAGGAAGAAAAGTTTCAGAAAGGAGGTTAAAAAAAAAACTTGTAGATTGAAGATATCAAGAATTATTTTCATGGATATATTCTAATAGCTGATTTTCTTAGTGCTTTTCTTGTGCCAGCAACTTGCAGATAAAAAGTGAAAGTGAAAGTCACTCAGTCATGTCCAACTCTTTGCGACCCCAGGGACTGTAGCCCACCACGCTCCTCTGTCCATGGAATTCTCCAGGCCAGAATACTGGAGTGGGTAGCTGTTCCCTTCTCCAGGGGATCTTGCCAACGCAGGGATCAAACCCAGGTCTCCCGAATTGCAGGCGGATGCTTTACCATCTAAGCCACCAGGGAAGCCCAAAGGGAACAGTTATATATATTTCTAGTGATGATGAGATTTCTCTATGATAATATTAATAAAATATAGTAAAAATAACTCTTTGTAAATACAGACAAACTTTATTGCATTTTTTACAAATTAAGGAATTGTAACAACCCTGCATTGACTAAGTCTGTTGGTGCCATTTTTCCAACATCTACTTACTTCATGTCTTTGATTTTGCTAATTCTTGCAGTATTTCCAACTTTTTCATTATGTTTGTTATGGTAATCTGTGCTCAGTGATCCTTGATGTTACTATTGCCAAAAGACTGACTTCCTGAAGGCTCAGATGATGGTTAGCATTTTTTAGCAATAAAGTATTTTAAAGTTAAGATCTATACATTTTTTAGACACAATGCTATTGCACACTTAACAGACTACAGTATAGTGTAAACATAACTTTATATATACTGGGAAACCAAGACATTCATGTGATTCTCTTTATTGTGATATTCACTTTTTTACAGTGGTCTGAGGCAGTATATAGTCAGCAAAAATAAGACCAGGAGCTGATTGTGGCTCAGATCATGAACTCCTTATTGCCAAATTCAGACTTAAAGTGAAGAAACTAGGGGAAGCCACTAGACCATTCAGGTATGACCTAAAACAAATCCCTTATGATTATACAGTGGAAGTGACAAATAGATTCAAGGGATTAGATCTGATACAGTGCCTGAAGAACTATGAACGGAGGTTCGTGACATTGTACAGGAGGCAGTGATTAAGATCATTCCAAAGAAAAAGAAATGCCAAAAAGCAAAATGGTTGTCTGAGGAGGTCTTACAAATAGCTAAGAAAAAAAGAGAAGCTAAAGGCAAAGGAGAAAAGGAAAGATATACTCATTTGAATGCAGAGTTCCAAAGAATAGCAAGGAGAGAGAAGAAAGCCTTCCTCAGCGATCAATGCAAAGAAATAGAGGAAAACAATAGAATGGGAAAAATTAGAGATCTCTTCAATAAAATTAGAGATACCAAGGGAACATTTCATGTAAAGATGGGCATAATAAAGGACAGAAATGGTATGGACCTAACAGAAGCAGAAGATGTTAAGAAAAAGGTGGCAAGAATACACAAAAGAACTATACAAAAAAGATCTTCATGACCCAGATAACCATGATGGTGTGATCATTCATCTAGAGCCAGACATCCTGGAATGTGAAGTCAAGTGGGCCTTAGGAAGCATCAGTATGAACAAAGCTAGTGGAGGTGATGGAATTCCCAATGGAATTCAAATCCTAAAAATGATACTGTGAAAGTGCTGCACTCAATATGCCAGCAAATTTGGAAAACTCAGCAGTGGCCACAGGACTGGAAAAGGTCAGTTTTCATTCCAATCCCAAAGAAAGGCAACACCAAAGAATGCTCAAACTACCGCACAATTGCACTCATGTCACACACTAGCAAAGTAATGCTCAAAATTCTCCAAGCCAGGCTTCAACAGTACGTGAACCGTGAACTCTCAGATGTTCAAACTGGATTTAGAAAAGGCAGAGGAACCAGAGATCAAATTGCCAACATCTGCTAGATCATCGAAAAGGCAAGAGAGTTCCAGAAAAACATTTACTTCTGCTTTATTGACTGTGCCAAAGCCTTACTTGTTGTGGATCACAACAAACTGTAGAAAATTCTTAAAATGATGGGAATACCAGACCACCTGACCTGCCTATTGAGAAACCTGTGTGCAGGTCAAGAAGCAACAGTTAGAACTGGACATGGAACAACAGACTGGTTCCAAATAGGAAAAGGAGTACATCAAGGCTGTATATTGTCACCCTGCTTATTTAACTTATATGCAGAGTACATCATGAGAATTGCTGGACTGGATGAAGCACAAGCTGGAATCAAGATTGCTGGGTTAAATATCAATAACCTCAGCTACGAAGATGACACCACCCTTATGGCAGAAAGTGAAGAAGAACTAAAGAGCCTCTTGATGAAAGTGAAAGAGGAGAGTGAAAAAGTTGGCTTGAGGCTCAACATTCAGAAAACTAAGATCATGGCATCTGGTCCCATCACTTCATAGCAAATAGATGGGGAAACGGTGGAAACAGTGACAGGCTTTATTTTTTTGGGCTCCAATATCACTGCAGATGGTGACTATATCCATGAAATTAAAAGATGCTTGCTCCTTGGAAGAAAAGTTATGACCAACCTAGACAGCATATTAAAAAGCAGAGACAATACTTTGCCAACAAAGGTCCATCTAGTCAAAGCTATCGTTTTTCCAGTAGTCACGTATGGATGTGAAAGTTGAGCTATAAAGAAAGCTGAGCGTCGAAGAATTGATGCTTTTGAACTGTGGTGTTGGAGAAGGCTCTTGAGAGCCCCTTGGACAGCAAGGAGATCCAACCAGTCCATCCTAAAGGAAATCAGTCCTGAATATTCATTGGAAGGACTGATGCTGAAGCTGAAACTGCAATACTTGGGCCACCTGATACGAAGAACTGACTCATTGGAAAATACCCTGATGCTGGGAAAGATTGAAGGCAAGAGGAGAAGGGGATGACAAAGGATGAGATGATTGGATGGCATAGCCGACTCAGTGGACATGAGCTTGAGGCAACTTCAGGAGTTGGTGATGGACAGGGAGGCCTAGCATGCTGCAGTCCATAGGGTCACAATGAGTTGGACATGACTGAGCGACTGAACTGAACTCAACTGAGGCTGTATGCTTGTAGTTCTTTCATTAAATCTATTTACATTTCAAATGGGGAGTTTTATTGAAAGAGCATTTAGTGCATTAAAGGAAATGCTTCCTGGGTAACTCAAATGGTAAAGAATTCGCCTGCAGTGTAGGAGACCTGGGTTCAATTCCTGGATCAAGAAGATCCCCTGGAGAAGGGAGTGGCAACCCAGTCCAGTATTCTTACTTGGGAAATCTCACAGATAGAGGAGCCTCGTGAGCTACAGTCCATAGCGTCACAAAGAGTTGGACATGATTGAGCAACTAACACACACACACACACAAAGGAAATGCAGTGTTATGGAAATCCAAGGATCAGAATTATAGTCTGTCTGGAGCAGTTGGAGGTACTACTACCTGAGCATTTGGGTTTAGGGAAGCTTCAGGGACTTTAGCGGGAGCCTGTGGATAATATCAATGAATGTGATAGTAAGAGAGTTTCTCAGGTGGCTCAGCGTTAAAGCACCCACCTGCCAACATA